AGGGGGTATCAGTGCCCCACTTCGCTGGGTCCAGCAGAGGTGCGTGGACTCCTAGTGTATCCTGTACCAGCTCTCTGTTTTGATTACAACAAAACTACTAGTTTTTTTCCCCGTAAGCACTGATTCAGCAGGTATTGAGGCAGATCCGCCACTTTGAGCCGATGATGAATGTAATTGCTATCAGTGGTATTATTCTTGTGCTTACAGAAGTAATTTTTCACTTGAACAAAGATTCAAGTGTACTTGGGCTTGGAATAGAAATTTTTGCTGTCAACAGCTGTTCCTCCAGCCCAACAAGTGTGTTCCTCAGCTTGTCGATTAACAGCAGTGTGAAAAGAGAATGGAGTATGTTTTGCTCTGCTCAGCAAAATGAAAGTTCACAAGGTGAGGAGCTTTTATCAGCATGAATGAATTGTAATTTTTTTTAACATCTTGATTACATTTGGCATTTGAGCCTAGCACTGAAGAAAGCTGCCTGAATGAACTTTCGAATTCATGTAATTTGTAGCACTAGACGTTATTCGGACTGGATCCTTCTTAAACAAAACATCTGATGGTTAATTAGGAATGCTGCCTAAATAAGGATAGCAGGATTAGAATTGAATGCAAAGTGAATTGAATGCAAATTGAATGCATGGCGACAATAATCAACAAGAAATTCTTGGTTCTTTCAGAATTCAGAGTGGTGCACGATTGAAAGGGAGAGATTTTTCTTTCTGTGCTTCCCCCAGAGAGGCGATGGCAGTGGTTTGCACTTCCCAACTTTTGCCTAGAAACTGCCAGAGAGGAGAAGCCTCACCTTCACCTCTTCCTACTCTTTCCACACAGCAGTGTCATGCCTTAACAGTTGTGCCCTTTCTTACCTGGGCAGGTGCAGTGGACAGAATTGATCAGGTCACACACGCTTAGCAGCTTGTTAAGTTATATGAAAGCTGAAAATCTGGGTATAACTTTGGCCTGGACAGTAAGCCTGTGCTTCCTTATGCCACTAGAACAGAGTCCATTCTTGCAACCCTGCTACATTCTGCCCAAAGCCTGATGCAAAACAGAAATGAACAAACAAATTAACCCCGTATGGTGATATTTTGTGAAAATGAATTGCTTTGTCTTCATTTCTTTCAAACAATTTATGAATGTAATCTAAATTATCAGGCTATCCTTACTGGTAAAACCACAGGACCATATTTCAAAAATTCAGGATTGGACCTCTATTGTGATGGCTACAAACCCTTTGTTTACAGTGTTCTTCAAAAAATAGGACTAAAAGAGATGTTTTCACTTGTGACTTTGAAAGTGCCCTGAGAAAGTCAGAATAAGAAACAGAACTCTTAAGACTTCCTAAGGTTTTAATCTGAAGTCTGCTAGTTCCAGCCAGCTTCACATCCCTGTAGGTTTTACAGGGAGGGAATTTGTAATTTCAAATAACTGAGTCAGGCTCCAATTCTCAAAAAATTTCTAATTTCGATGCCTAATTTTAGATGCCCAAAATTGACAGGTAGAGCACTTGCTACAGTTAAAGACATCTGTGGTTGCTGATTGATTTTTAGTGTTTTGAATAATTCACTTTAAGTTCCTAGACTTTGAAGCATCTAGAATTAGAGGTGATGCATAAAAATGTGGGAAACAATACTTAATGTCAGCTGTAAGAATCTCATGTTAGGGCCCTAACAGTAAACATCTTTGGCCTAATTTATTTGACAAAATCCCAGCCTAAACCTCTATTAGTAAACACCTTTGGCCTAATGTATACAACAAAACAAAACTCTAGCCTAAACCCCTATAGTAGGCAAAGGAATGACTCGCCTTTAAAAGACTTCTATACATTGCCAGGCTTTTAACAATACAATGACATCAAAAAAAAAAAAATCCTACCCCCAATGGAAATAAATATTATTATAAAAAATCCAGCCCAGACATGCCCCTCTAATGGTAAAAAAAAAAATCCTTTGAGTGGTGAGGACCTGGTAAAAATCACATGAGCAAAATAACGTGGTAAGCATTTGCCAGTGTAGCTTTGCCAAAACCAGCAACGTCTTTGAAACATCCCAATGACTTTCAGTAAACCAAGCTCCTAGAGGTAAGGATATATATCAAAATACATACCAGGTCAAAAATTCTCAACCAGCTCTAGATAAGTGGGTCTTGGCACATAGCCAGTGCAATGCAGCAATACCAGCTGAGATCCTGGAAATAGCACAGCTGCGTTAACATGGCTTATGGCCGGCTAATTAGTCTTATTAGTGGCACATTGCATGTTGCGGCTTAGATCCCCTAGTTCTCAGAGGCATGTCTAAGCATCTTACCCCATAGGCCTGAATATTTTCACTGGCACTCTTCAGTGGGAAATATTCCTATTAGAACCTCCTTGCATACTCTCGTGTCACTACATGTAATGTTCTAATGAGGAATGTGGTGAGATAGTTTTACCAATTTCTGTCAGCCATTTGGCAACAGCTCCATAAATTTCATCAAGTATAAGTATCACAACGAGGTTAATGATGACAGCAGTTGCGGTCACAGTCACTCGAACATTTGACCTCGTTGTCTCATTTGTGCTGAATGACAAAGCTGCTGCTGTAGTAATTCGGTATACAATCACACCGAACACTGCTGAAAACGTCAGCATAATCTGCAAAGAAATGTACAGATAGATTAGTTCAAGTTTGATACTAGCATTTAAACAGAAGCTTTGGCTGATATGTCGGGTTTGTTCCATGATTTGGCATTGTGTGATTATTTCTTAGAGCAACACAGTATTATGAAGATAACCAAATAAATATGTGAGAATTCAAAACTCTCTAACAGGGACATAATGAAGAAAATGGATGCAGAGCTCTGAACTGGCACAACAATTCCTGAAGATGTGCATGTCCTTTCTGATTAAAGCTTCAGTCATTATTCATCCAGTACTGGTGAAACTCAGGGAGTTCGGGTTCAAATGTAGGTATTAAGCAAGGGTTTTTTTATCAGGCAATTGGTTCAGATGGCTTGGACTGAAGGGCCTACATGCATGTGCAATCAAGAAATTGGGCTTAACTAACTCAAACAGCTTCACTTCTGCCCAGCAGAAGAGGTACCTTACTCTCCAGTTGTTCTAGTCTTGCTCTACTGTTCCCACAAATTAAAAAGAAATTTTAAAAATAAATGTTTTCCTTGATATTTTTCTTTTATGACTGACATAAACAGGGTTACTAGGGCTTCACTTTTCATTTCTGTCCCAGAAATCAGTTGGTATCCTGGCATCCTTCATGGGCTAGCTTTGACCCATGAGATGAGGGAAGTCAGCCCTGCTACGTAAGGTCAAGTTCCCACAAGAAGAATTTGAATTTCACAGGGCTGTGGTATTCTGGTTTCAAAAAAAAAAAACACCAACCAAAAAAACCAACCACCCCCCATTGATAAAAAAGTCAATAAAATAACAATAAAAAAGAGCAAATTTTCATAGCCATAGCAGGAAAAGGGGAGAGGGTACATTTTTCTTCTTTAATTTTGCCTTTGGCAAGAATTCCAATGTACATTCATTATTTTAGGTAAAACATCTTGAGGTCCTCAGATGAAAGAGACTACCTAAATGTGAAAGATTAGACTATTGCAATTATTTCAATAGGCCTAGGGGCCCAGATTCACAACACAGGTTTAAGGAAATTTAACAGTTCATTTTAATGACCCAGCAATAGTTTGTTGAACCCCTGTATACAAAGGAAGGTTGTCTCATGAAAAAGTACTACTGCAAAAGAACCAGAACAAAAATCAGAGCCATATTAAAGGTTAAAGATGAAAACTGGGCACATTTTGTTTTAGTGGAGAACCAGTAAACGTGCTAAAAAACAGTGATTTGGAGAAACTCCTGAAGATAGCAGATGAAATTCACAACTACTTTCTGTGAGAAAATAGTAATAAAATGTTAGATCTAGTAGAACATCTAATTTTTACCTTTTAAATAAGTGTTTCATTAATTTTAAAGTAAATGTAGGTGAATGATGAGTTTTTGCTTCATGCTACTGTTTTTCATTCAAATACTGGTCTAAAGAAAAAAAATCTAAACATAAAACACTTTAAATGAAAATATTTCTAATGGCATAAAATATTATTTCATTTCCTTCTGTAGTTTTCCTTGTGTTGAGAAAACAGTTCTAATTTTTCTGCCTGTTTTCCTCTGTTTTCTTTTGTCTTACCTACCAAACACGGAGACAAAAATCTGATTCATGTTGAACTGTCTGCTCAGTTCTTGCCATGACAGAAGTGGTGCAGGAACACAAAGATCAGAACTTTTTCCTAACTTGCCCATTGCAGAAGCGATCACTACAGTAGACAGTAATGTCCTCAATAAGAGAAAACAAAATAGCACCAGCTGGCAGTAATCTAATTCACCTTCCACCACGACCGTCACCTTTAGCTCTTTTTTTTTTTTTTTTTTCTTAGTTTGGGTCACAGATTCCTTCTTCTTAATCACCTTCCAGATAACTCTTTTTCTGTTTCCTTCCCCTGACAGTTTCTTTGAAATTATTACTATGGTGGTGGACAAGGAAAACCAGCAAAGTAAACTTGCATCCATCATTCTGGAGATGATGAGCTCTTTGGGCCTTTGTAGATACCTATCTCCGTTACAAGCTTCCACTGAACAGGACAGGAAGAAGAGGCATCAGCGACAGTCATCACCAAATAAAGAGGAAATTTCAGGTCGTGGAAGTTGAACAGCAAACTCTTAAACCTGACCAAAGGATTTAAGGGATCCATAGCAACGAGGAAGATCACTGGAGGATGAGGTACTATCAGAGGGTTGCACTATTGTGGCCTTTTCAATTCATGCAGTGCCACAGCAAGATATACAAAGTCGTGTGTGTCGTCCCCCCCCCCCAAAAAAAAAAAAGAAATATTTAGTGTCGCCCCCCCCCCCCAAAAAAAAAAAAAAGTTGTATTCATGTAAAGAACAAAGATACTTGTCTTGCCAAAGGACCAGGACTTTAGAAACTCCTCGGTTGCCCAGCTGTTTTTAAACATCTGCTTAGACACAGATGGAAAAACACTCCTTTAGGAGACTTCATTATCTGTGCATCCAACAACAAGAGAAAATTGAGGCGGGCTTGTAGGACTGGACAGTAACTGAGAGCATAGTTCTCACTCCCCAGACGGTCACTGGGAGAGAATGGTTCCTGTATCTTCACAGCATTTCTGCTGTTCCTGAAAATACCTCTTTTGCCCAAATTCCAGATCAGATGGTCCCTTTTCATTCAGATGCCTGCTTTGGGTTTTGTTGTCATTGCCAACATTTCATCCGGCCAGTTCTATTCCCTACTATGGCAGACAGTTTCTTCACTGAATATCTAAACTAGTCTGTCAAGGACTGCATTAGAAACAGATGTGAAAATTGGCTGCAGAAAAGGTCACCTACTGAGCCTGGTATGAATGAAGACAAACAGGAAAGCATACTAGATCTGAGAAGGAAGCTATAAAACCCTGTGGGCTAGACTGCTACCTTCATCCAAGTAGGATAACAATTTAATCTCCAAATAGTTCTTTGGCTCCCTGGTAGGGCTATTCTAGAGTCAAGTATTATGCCATGTGAGTAAGAACAGGGCAATAGTGTCCAAAAGAAGGAACAGGCTAATCTCCTGTGCCATGACACTAATTGGTTTTCTTCCTTCCTCTGACTGAGCCAAATGCAATGAACACAAAGAAAGGCTCCAGTGATGGCATTACTCCACGCCATCCTGCTGTCTTCCAACAGCTACCAACCTTTTCATTGCATACTCAGAAATCTTTGCTGCAACATCTACCTTCTAAACGTGGGGTTTCTAAACTATGACTTACGTTATTACTAATCACACACAAGCCAAACTTGTGTATGCCCAGCTGAGCCTAGGCCTCCTGCTACCACTGGTCTTTGTGTACAAGAAAAGAACTGTGACCAGATTTTAAAGCATGCATAAATGTATAAAATGATCCTTGGAATTCTTTGGTGGTGAAAAAGACCAAGATCAATTGGGCAAGAGAACCAAACCCAACATTTTTTACAATCTGCACTTTTAAAGCAACAAACAGCATGCCTAGCTTAATAAAGACAAAAGAAAAGTCAGAAAGAAAAAAAAAACACAAGACAGTTCTTGAAAGAGGATTCACAAAAGTGAAGTACACAATGAAAAACAAAGAGAAAAGATTTTACAATAAGAAAACAATTTTTCAAGAATCATCAGGGAAAGTATGGCATGTAAAGCTGAGGGAAGAGGGAACAGAACACAACAGCATCATTCTATAGCAATGTAAACATCTTCATGGAAAATGCCCATGAGTTTGTGCTGCCCGACCCTTTGGGTCTGGAAAAGGTGGTATTAAAAATTCAACAATCACTTCTGCAGCATTAGAAATTGCAGCACATGTGTGTGCGTATCTGTGTCTGAGTCTTCTATGTCTGTGTGCTGTACACGTGCACACACACATGTAAATTCAAGATTTCATCACCTATTATGTATGTAGTGCTTACAGCTAAAAAAATTGGTCTGTGTGAATAATAATAACGGAGGTAGATGAGACCAGTTCAGTTCCCTCAGTGCAATTCTATTGCACAAACTTTAGTCTGGTGTTTCCAATACCTGTTTAACTAATCTAGCAGAAGAAAAAGAAACATCCCATACAGTAAAGAGAAGATTGTAACCTCCACATAGGAAAGCAGAGCTGGCTCTCCCTCATCAAGAACTGACCTGATTTTCATGCATGGTTTGTAAGTTGTCTCCTGTAGGTACTTACATGTGCAGTTAATGTTCAAAAATATTCTAAAAAAATCATTGTGGCCACTTCTCCAAATGGTGAAAGCCAGCGTAGTTCCACTAGTCACTAACAGAAGTTGACGAACTGAAGCTCTACTTTTTACCTTTATAAATCTCTCTGAGATATTACCATAAGCAGGGAGTGTAATACACAGGCTATGACTCAGGAAAGCACTTTAAGTTCATGCTTAGGGGAGATTTAAACATGTGGTTGAAGTCAAGAGCACACATAAGCATCTCGTCTGCAAAAGAATGACTTGTAAAAGCTAAATTGGGGCAATATGCTTAGTCATACTCAGTATACTCTGCTTTAAGCAAAGTCCCAGCTGATGCCAGTTAGACGTTCTGTTTAAAAAGCAAATGCTTGGTATCGCCCCAGGACAGCCTCACTCTAAATGATGTAAATACATACATATATATATGACTGACACACCTAATACATACAGAAAATACACTTAATATATGATACATATATCTTCATAAATACATACTCATATATTTGTAAAAATACAGGCATTTAATTTGACTTCAATGTCTCTATAAAATATTTTTGATTGTCAGAAAACGAAATTAAAGCTTCACAGGACATCTGTTGCAGTATATGCAAATTCAAGTAAATTAGAAATACACTTAGATATTTTAAAATAATTTAGTCCCTAAGTAAATTTCCCATGTGAGATGCTCCTGTGGTGTAAATCGGCATATTTCATTGCCTTTTTATACTGGTTTTAGATGTGAATACATGCTTTCATTCAGTAATTTCTGTAACCTGAAGGATAACGGGATCCTTGACAATGTAATTTAAGGTTCGTTAGCTAGGTTTTCCTATTGCTGTTAATAAAGTCTAGCAGCTTGATGATGTGTTTATGGTCTGTTGGAAATTTCGCTAGGCCAGTGTGGACACTTTACACTTGGCTGATCCACCCACCTCATTCTTGTTCACAAGTAAGGATTGTATGCCACGGTCTTCCTCAACTAAAGTATAGTCCATCCCTGAATGTGTGTTGGAGAAATACTTCTTAGCAACAGATTTATTTCACCTGTATGTCAACTGTTCAGTAGGCTCAACACTGCTGAATGTCATTCTGACAGAGCACAGGCTTATGTGCACACAAGCAAATACACAGTGGGCTTCCCTCCATTAGATAATGGAGGACGAAGCAGAAACCTTGTGGGAGAGACAGCATCTAGTAATGAGCTGCTGTCATGACAGCAAGTCATCCAGCCAACAGCCCTCTTATAAGCAACCTTTGGAAAAAAGAGAATAAAGCTGGAGGTAGGCACTGAGATCTAGGAATCTTCCTAGTAGGACATGTATTTCTCATGAACTGTAGGTTATAACCCTTGCTTTCTTCAGATTTTTAGCATCTTTGAGAACACTAATTCAGGGTTCTGCCTAAGATGCTCATTGCAAAGTTTCTCACACCTAATAAATGTGCAGAAATGCAGATTATATTACCATGAATAAAATCAATCCAAAGTTTGCTGCATATCCAGGCATACGGTCACTCCATGTCAGCTTTTCCTTTTCATGCTGTGACAAAACACAAAGATAAAATAACAGACATTACAGAACTGCACAATAGCAAATAGTTAAGATGATCTGTTATGGAAAAATGTTCTCAATTCATCTACTCCTGTTGTAATTTTGAAGATGATTATAAGATTTAGAACACTGATATTTTAAAGTAGACTCTAGTTTGAGAGAAGATCAGGTAAGAGGGTAAATAAAACATATAGAAATGTCTGCAAAAATCAGAAAATACGTAACTATGATTTTAGTATTTGAAAAAATGTATTCAGCTCTTACTAGATTTCTTAATATTAGGAGAAAGCCCTGAGATTTACCTTAATTTACATTTAGGCAAAGCAAGATTCAACCATTTATTTTGAATTGCTTCTTGTAAAACTTCAGAAGAATAGCGCTCGAGACAGAAATCATTACAAGAATGCTTACTACCATTGAACCCAGATTTTTTTGTCTAATGGATACCTTAGCTAAATGTGGCCCCTAAGATAATTCTTGCAAAGACACCCCAAACCTTCTCCTGGTACTTGGTCTATAGTGAAGAAAAACTCCAAAGGCAAGCCCCCTCTGTGATTCTGCTGCCAACCTTTCTTTCTTCATGTGCAAACAGCATCTCTCTCTTCATTGCCTAATTTAAAGCAACTGTGATCAGTGAAATCTAGTATGCTTTTGCCATTCCCACACAAACTCAACTTCATCTCTAGCAACATGTACATCTAAAGAAGATATTAAAAAAATGGATTTATATAAGAAATATGATTCTCTCTTCTCACAATAGGTTTCTTAAAATAATAATAAGGTCATTACGTTGTTTAAATTAAACTAAAACTGCGTAATCAAATTAACTAAGGACACAGAGCCAGCTGTTTGCATTTCTGTGAACCACCATTGCTATCCCATGGAGTAGTACTCACTTACACTGGAGTTAACCCAGAGTTATTTTGAATTTAAATGAATTTAAATCAGATTAGAGTTCAGGTCAAAGGTTTCAAATAAACTATTTCTAAGGCACAATTGTCCTCAGATAAAAATAAAAATCTGGGAGTATGACGCCTTTGTCAAAGGCTTTCCCAAAGCAGCACTAGGAATAAGGTATACACTGCAAGTGCAGAAATGCAGACGTGAATTTTCTCATGGAGTTTACTGGGCTGTGGAATTAGACCTAAGACATGATCCTGTCTACACATCCATTGCCATTGTGGTGATGCCTCAAACACTGTGGGAAGTAGTATTACTCAGCATCCCCTCTTCTCAGCTCAGCTGTTCAAACAGACAAATTAAGCATGGCTCTTTTGGGAGAATGCTGGCAGGACTGGGTCATAGCAAACCCAAGCAGAAGCACAAATAATTTGGCCCAATGTATGCAGTATGTAAATACTCCATACAGTACATAAATGGAGTCCATCATTTAGCTGCAAGGCTACTTTAAAAAGCATTTATTTGAAAGCACAGATGCATTTCATTTAATTTTGGCTATTACCACCCAGCAATTTCACAGGACGTAAAGAAGGTCTAAGTGATTGTACTCCAAGAAGGCCTGGAGGACACCATGTCTAACAATTTCCCTAGGGGAAAAACACTGAAGAAGCAAAACAGCAGAATGAGTTAATGATAGTCAAAGGAAAGAAGAAAATCTTTTATAACCATACTGAGGTGGAAAGAGAAAATAGTGATTTATACAAAAGGGCCAGGAAGAAGCAAAAATGACTAAGAAAATCACTTCAAAAATGCCTCTAGCAGTAAGAATTTTGGAAAATTAGAGATGATAATGCCAAGATCAGACTTTCACATATCATTCACCATGCTTGCCAAATCCCGAGTGGCAAAGTGACTAAGGATTTTCATGTTTTGGGTTTTTTTGTTCAATATTTCTGGTGATGTAAGACATTTGTATTTTGAAACATCAGTCATGATTCTGACATGACCTACTGGCTTTCCAAGTCAAGCTAAAAATCACATGCTGGAAGACTCCTGATAACACCTCAGCAACTTACAAAACTGAGAAATCAGGAAATACCTTAAGAAACAGTTGTCCATTATGAAAAAGAAATAGCTATTTACTTGCACTGTTTGTCCTACCCTCTTTTTCTTTTTTTTCCAGTAAAATATAACTGGATAGTTACAGGAAAGAAGAAGAAAAATGAGGAAAATTGAGCAATGATTGACATGTACTTTGAGAGATGTATATCAGCAGCTAAGACGTGCCTAAGCCTATATTTTTAGGCATTAAGAGACATTAAGATTAACCCATTTAAGGGTCCCAACTTCAGGAGAATTTAAGGACTGTAGTTATTAGAGCGTTTGCCCTCTTTAATCTCAGCATATGCATTAAGAATGCAGAGGCATCTAGCATCACCAGTCATTTTGGAAGCCCTACGTTTAGTACCTGAATACCTGTTTTACAAAAATTATTGCTCTTCAAAAGCAATTTTGAAGCAACTTTGTGCCTGATGAGTTCAATAAAATAAGTTCCTGGAATAAAGATTTAGAAGCCTAACTGGTCCTTAAAATTTCAATTTATTACTGGGAATAACTAAATGAAATATGGATTGCCTCCAAAAAAAAATTACCTTTCTGAACAGGATCAAAATAGTCTTTTCTCTTGACTGGCTGCCAGATGCCCACCCAGCCACTCTCTCACTATCCTCCTCAACAGGATGGGGGGAGAAATTAAAATGAAAAAGCTTGTGGGTTGAGCTAAAGACAGGAAGATCACTTACCAATTGCTATCACAGGCAAAACAGAGTTGACTCGGGGAAAAATAATTTAATTTATTACTATTTGAAATAGATTTGGATGGTGAGAAATAAAAACAAAACTAAAAGCTCCTTCCACTTCACCTACCTTCCAACTTCTTCCCAGGGCCAAGTTCACCCCTTCATTCCTGACTCCTCTACTTCCCTACCAAGCAGTGCAGGGGGATTGGGAACGGCAGGTTATGGGGTCAGTCCATGACAGCTCCTCCCCCCTCACACTGTTCCCCTACTCCAGCGTGGGTCCTTCCACGGGCTGCAGCCCTTCGGGATAAACCTGCTCCACTGTGGGCTCTCCAGGGGCTGCAGTTCCTTCAGGAAATACCCACTCACTCCAGCATGGAGTCCTCCCAGGGTGCAGTGTGGGCACCTGCTCCTGCGTGGGCCTCTCCAGGGGCTGCGGGGGAATCTCTGCTCCACCGTGGTCTTTCCAGGGGCTGCAGGGGAATCTCTGCTCAGGCACCTTGAGGACCTCCTCCTCTCCTCCCGCTCTCACCTTGGTGCTCACAGGACTGTTTCTCACAATATTTGCCCTCTCTCCTCACTGCCAGGCAGCATTTTACCCTTTCTTACACATGCTTTCTCAGACGTGCCACCATCTTGCCGAGGGGCTCAGCTGTGCCCTGCAGTGGGTCCGCTGGAGCGACCCCGACCTCTCCTCAGAGCCCCCCCCTGCAGCCACCACTGCCAGTGCCTGGGCACTGGCACCCGATACAGCTACGGTGTTGGTGCAACGGTACAAGGAAAACCACATCTGCTTTTGAGCACTGAACAAGGCCTTGCAGGTTGAACAGAGCTCAGTAGAGCGACAGGCACGCCATCAGCGCTTCACTTCGAGCAGTGCATGGCACAAAGGGGAAAATTAGGAAGAGGAGAGAGGAGAGGGTGTGCATAGGAAAGGAAAGCGGATAAAGGAAGGAAGAGAAGAGCAGCATGCCATCTAGTCAGCTTTCTCTTTGATACGTGTGCTTCCTTTAACCTGAGGTGACTTTGCTGTGAGTTTGCCGTTCTCTGTAGCACTTAGCCAAAAGGAGATCTGAACAACGTGCCTGAGTTGCTATGCCATTATGAGAAGAAAGAACAAGCTGGATGAAAGTATTACTGAATTACTTAGCATACATGGCACAAACCAAATTTTGAATTTTAAATTAATGTAGTAGGTAGATGAAGGCTACTTTCTCTTACGGCTAAGAAAACCAAATCTGTAAATTCTCTCGGTATTTTCTGTCGCACCTGACTCTACTCTCTGGCAATAGTGCCATCTAGCCGCTAGAAGACTGTACTGTCAGGTATCAAGAACACCTTGTCTGCCATCAAAATATTACACTTGCACCCTGCTGCAAGTGTGGTTTATTCTAACTTAGTGGAATTCATTCATAGATTTCTCCTAGGATACGCCACATACCCCATTCTAATCAATAATGTACATTACAGGACATTGCCCGGATTTTAGACACGGGTAGGAAAGCTTTCCTAAAGGTTGACGAAAACTCAGCCAAGCAGACAGGCAAAATCTGTCTGGGGCAGTCCAAGAGGTGTATGCATTTATGGACATAACAAGGTGAAGCAGATCATCTGAAGAATAATCTCAGTGACAGATGTGTTACACTGTGGAATATTTCCCAAGAGAAACTGTATTGCAGGGAATATTTATATGCAGACAGAAAAACCTCACAATAGAGATTATATTTTTGTGGTGAACAAGACAAACTAAAAGATGTATTTTAAAATCTTTCTTTCAGTTTCTTTAAATACAGGGAGGGATTTGCAACTGTATTGGAGGAAAAAATAGTTGTTGATTTGGGTGTAGTAATGCATTCCTGTTTTAACGTTTAATGTGGCGTTGAATGTGTTCCTTGCAGGAATACAGTTTTTCCTATTAGAAAACAAAAAAATAAAATTAAAAAAAAAATCAGAAAAGAAAAAAAATACAATTAGGCACCATGTAGGTTTTGCTGGATGGTTTATTTCCTCATGAGTTACCTAACATGGCAAAGATCCAACATGTGCAGCTCTGCATCCTCAGATGGGCCTCTGAGCTGTGGAAACCTGGAAATATATTGCACTTGGACAGCACCAAGCGTCTTTGTGAAAACAGTTCTATGTTTCTCTGTGAATTAAACCACAGCCAGTTTGCTCAGATCGTAAGTATTTCAGTTATTTATTTATATTTTCCCACAAGACAACACCTCCTCCAAGCAGGTGTTTCTAACCATCAGTCATGCCAGCTCAACCTGCACTTGGGGAGTAAAG